GGCCGATTTTTTTTTATTTATTTAAAAAAAATTGTCGAATTTTCTTTGACAATTTTTTTTTAAATAAATAAAAAAAATACAAAAAAAAATCGGCCCACTCCGGGATTAGCGGGGATAGTTGTCAAATTAATTGAAGTTTTTTTTGAGAAAAAAAAAACAAAAAAAAAATGGCGAACTTCGAAAAAATGACGATTTTACTAAAAAAAAAACGATTATTTTATATAATTGATCATGTTAAATTTTTTTCGTGTATTTTTTCGTGTATTTTTTTGAAAAGTTCATTCAAAAACAAAAATTAAAAAAAAAGATACCCAAAAGTCAATTTCTAAAAAAGTTATGGCTATTTGAAAATAAAAAAGCCATTTTTTTTTAAATTCATAACTTTTTTGAGGTTGGACAAAAAAATTTGAAAAAATTTTCAAAAATGTTTTTCAAAGGGTAGAAAAGGATGGAAAAGTTTTAGCAAAATCTAAAGGGGTCGGGTTCAAAAGTGGTCGATTTGGTATGGAATACCCCATATATATATATACCGAACCTTCATTTGCAAGCTAACCATAGGGAAAATAGATTGTAACTGGACCAGATGAGTTGCAGACAACACAAAGCGAGAACCTTTTCAGAAATGATTTAGATGCGTCGTCGAGACATGCGTACTAAAACAAATTTTACCAGATTTACACCGCACAAAATAAAAAACAATAATAAAGCATCGATGTATGAAGCAAGGTCAACTGTTACGGCGCATGCTAGCCTACTCGTCCACGCGTCCAAATCATTTCTACAACGTTTTTCGCTTCGTGCTGACTAAGACTTATCTGGTCCAGTTACAATGTATTTTCCCTATGGTTAGCTTGCAAATGAAGGTACGGTATATACACATATTTACATCAAGATGAGATCCGATCATAATCAGGACTACCCGAGATCCACTACTTTCAATAACAATAATTTATTTTGAATTTACTTTTTATTGACAAAAATGTAAGTACTCTTATGGCAAAAAGAGAGGGGTAAGATATTTTAATTTTTTTATATACTATGGGGATTATTAAACAAAGTGAGATCTAGATCTCACTTGGTATGTAAACTCCATAAAAACATGTATAAATTAATTTTATGGCCAATATTACGTTCAAGTAGAGATCTGACAGTGTTGCCGCTATTTTTTTAAATATTTTAACACGTTTATATTAACTCGCCTTCTTGTCTATCTGCCTGTTTGTTCGGTACAAATTTTGCATGCGATTTTACACCTACTTACACCCAACTGATTGGGCTGAAATTTTGCACACACTTTTGACACTAGTGACAATACAATATAGTATACTCAATATTGTAATTTGTTCAAAATGGCCGCCGCTACAAGATGGCGGATCCGCGGATTACCTCTTTCTTTACAATTGTGGGTCAACGCACTTTATGTGGGTATCAAATGAAAGGGTTTGACGAGTGTACCACGATAAACTAAGTGACGTTATACTAAATCCAATATGGCGGCTTCCCCCAAGATGGCGGATTACCTTTTTTTTACAACCCCCTTGATATGGGTATCAAATAAAAGGGTTTGATGGGTATAAAACGATTAAGTGAATGAGGTAAAACTAAATCCAATATGGCGGCCATTCCAAGATGGGGAATTACCTTTATCTTTACAACCCCCTTGTTATATATATTAAATGAAAGGGTTTGATAAGTAAAAAATTATGAAGTGATCAACGTTATACTAAATCCAATATGGCGGCTGCCCCAAGATGGCGGATTACCTTTTTCTTTACAACCTCCTTGATATGGGTATCAAATGAAAGGGTTGGATGGGTATAAAACGATAAAGTTATCGACGTTATACTAAATCCAATATGGCGGCTGCTCCAAGATGGCGGATTACCTTTTTCTTTACAACCCCCTTGATATGAGTATTAAATGAAAGGGTTTGATGGGTATAAAACGATAAAGTGAGTAAGGTACAACTAAATCCAATATGCCGGCCATCCCAAGATGGCGAATTACCTTTATCTTTACAACCCCCTCGTTATGTATATCAAATGAAAGGGCTTGATGAGTACAAAACGATGAAGTGAGTCATACTTAATTTAGCATGGCGGCCACCCCAAGATGGCAGAATATATATTTTTTCACAACCTCCTTGAAATGGGTATCAAATAAAGAGATTTCTCGAGACAAATACGTGAAGTCAATCCAATTTAAAAATGGCGGACTACCAACTAAACAGACTAAAAAATAGTTAAAAAAAAACTAAAAAACATGCAAACAACGCGCTTTTGGGTTACATTTAATTAAAAAGCATTTACTTAAGTATATAACTTGTACTTATACATGTACTTGTAATTTTGACTTATTTTTTCAAAGGACCCCACGCTTTTTAAAAGTCATTTAAAATTAAGAAGCGAAAAAATTAATTCATCCTTTTATACTTTTTAGTGCGTTAAAACGTGTTTTTTAAACGATTTATTTTAGGTAGGTGGTGAAGTATGCTTTAAAGTCTAGACGTTAGACTTTAGTGTCAACAGATGTTGGGGGTACGCTAAAAATTCAACAAGATAGAGAAAAAATGCAGGAGACAAAAAGTTGTACCTTAAATAATTATTGCCTAATCTAAAAATAATATTTAACTAATAAAAAAGGCAGTAGCGTACCCAAATTTTATTTTTTAATATCTAGTTGGGCTTACTAGCGCCGCTTCTGTATCAACTAATTAACTTTAATTACATATGTTTAATATTAAATTAAGCCCTTTACCCATTACAAAAATCCTGTATTTTAAAAACGAAGCTATAAAACATACAGTTTATATAAACTTTTCTTATAATTTTTGCCGATCGACTATCTACTAAATTTTTTCGAATAAAACCTGGGACACCCTGCATATTATAATATAATATTATACTACTATTATTGTATTATTATATTATTAGGTATACCTAATAGGTACCCATTTACTTATTATAACGTAATTTTGATATGATATATGAGTTAGTATACTAGTACCTATAGGTACTACAGGAGTTAAAAGTCTATTTTCCACCACAACCATTCACAACAAATGTGTGATGAAAACATAATTTTACTTTTTATTTACTCTTCTATAAAATTATGGTTCAGTTACTAGTTTTTTAAATATTGCAACAATTAAAATTTTGAATTAGTTGGTTTTATGTAAAATGTATTAAATTAAAAAAAAAATTTAAATAAAAAAAAATAATAATTTAAACAGAGGATTTTATTATTAAGATCATTTGGCTGTACCCATTTAAATCGAAAAATAAGTTATCTTATGATTAGGGATTTGTATTTTGTTTATATTTACTTTCTATTGTATTGTAACAATAATTTATTTAATGTATTTTCAATTATTTACGGTAACTTCATTAAAAATGGTAAAATAAAATAACGGTTTAATTAATATTGAGTTTTTATTGGTAAATTACCTTATTAACATTGTTATTGGTATTAAAATATTTTAACTATCAAACTAAAATCACAACATTTATTACTAGTCCAAGTTGAAGGGGTCAATTACTTTACCGTTTTTTTTTTAAAAAACATTGTTAAAGGTTATTTGCAATTTAGTGCGCTCTATTTTTGAAAAAAGTGCAAAGGAAAACATGAATTTTGCAAGGTTTGCAGTTTTTTGTGTTTTTTAATGCAAAACAGTTTTTCTAAGACAATCAATGTTAAAAAAGTTATTTCAGTTATTCAGTGTGCTCTGAATTGTCTATGTTTAATGGAACATATTTTTTTAACATTGATTTTGGAAAAAAATGGCAAAGGAAAACATGTTTTTGAATTTTGCAAGGAATCAACCCCTTCAATTTGGGACAGTAATTTTGGGATAGGGAGCGTTCAAGTATTACGTAACTCAATTTTTGGAGATATTTAACCCCCCATGTATCGCGCCGAATCGTTTTTCTGTACCCCCCCTAGTAAAACGTTACGTAACCACCAAGTGACTATTTTTACCTAAAAATCACAATTATGTGGCGTAAAGTACCGGAAAGTCCGAAGGGTTAAAAAATAATTATGTTACGTAACGCGTAGTTCAAGCCCCCTCCCGCCCCTGTAACGCATCGTAACGTTTCACAAAACCCCCCCTCCCCCCAAATTCGTTATGTAATACTTGAACGCTCCCATACCCAGTATATATAAGTGTTATAGAAAAATTCTTCATCAGGATAAAGGAACTAAGGTAAGTCAAATTTTTTAACTTATTTTTGCACAATTGTTTAACCAACACTGGATTCCAACTTCTAGGAGTTCAAAATTTGAATGTCTTGGCAGGATACAATCAAAAACAAATGTCACATGCAATCTGGTCATAAACAAACATGTCCATTTTTAAAAGTTGATTTTTTAAATACTGAAATTATTTTGATCATGATGGCTTATTTAGGCGTGCTAGGAAGCATAAGAGGATATAGAAACAAGCTTTATATTGCAAGAATTTAATGTACTTAATTTAAAAACAGTTTTTTTGCTGCTGAAAATTTTTATTAGAGGGACATATTTGGTTTTGACAGAATGCTCCTGAACTGAAAAAAAAATTAATACATTTTTGTTTAGCACGAAAATGTTATTTAACACCTTTATCCATCAATTATAAAAATATAAAATTCAAAATTTTAAAAATGTGACTTACCTACCGTAGTTTCTCTATCCTGATAAAGATCAATTTTTCTATATATAATTTGTATGTACTGGGTGTCCCAAAATCATCATCAATCATTCCTTGCCAAATTCAGATTTACCTTTAAATAAAGCCAATTCAGAGTGCACTCTTTTAACATTGATTTGGCAAAGGAAAATGTCTTAGAAAACTGTTTTGCATTAAAAAACACAAAAACCTGCTACAAATACAGCTGTAATTTTGATATAACAAATATTTAAAAAACGGCCCATTTTAGTCACGTAGGTAGTCTGAAACAAAACAAAATTATTAAATAGGTAGGTAGTTAATAAAAGGAATAATTGGTTAAGTATCTTACCAATCAACATGTAGAATTAATTACAATATTGTATCAAGTATTGTCTGACCATAAACAAACAGGAACTTTGGCTTTTGTTACACAATCTACAAATAAACTTGACAACAATTAAAGAAACATAACCTCACTAAATTAATATTTAAATCATACCTCATATTTTGTAGCCTATGTACCACAGAGAACAGCGTAATTTATTTATTACACGTAGTTTAACAACCAGATAATAAATCATTACAAATCTTAGGTTTTGTCTAGGGGTCTTGCACCAGTATCTTTTGGGGTTTTGCACCAGTATCTTAGCAATCAACATGTAGAATTAATTACAATTTTGTATCAAGTATTGTCTGACCATAAACAAACAGAAACTTTGGCTTTTGTTACACAATCTACAAATAAAATTGATAATTAAAGAAACATAACCTCACTAAATTAATATTTAAATTATACCTCATATTTTGGAGCCAATGTACCACAGAGAACAGCGTAATTTATTTATTACATGTAGTTTAACAACCAGATAATAAATCATTACAAATATTAGGTTTTGTCTAGGGGTTTTGCACCATTTCGTATTAACAAACACAAAAAAAAATGATTTTGACATAAACTTAAAAATACACATGTACATAATCAACACAACCTTAGAAGAACAGAACATGTAAACAACAAAGACGGCTGCCACCATTCGCAATGCGATGTTGCCATGATTGTCGGATCTCACGATGATCGTAATCTTAAAAATTTTAAAGCGACCTCTATGAACCAACCATTAAACCCAATTTTTATAAAAATTGAAATAAATCTTACATTTTGAGCTCCGGTCAAATTTTTGCATTTATGCTATTCAAATGCACTAGGAAATACAGTCAAAACATGTCGAGGTCCGTTTTTGGATCTCTTCTTGAAAATCGGATCTCGAGACGTTCATGTTTTAACACAAATGGATCCCGGCTTGTGTGATAAACATATCTATATATATATATATATATATATATATATATATATATATATATACGCGTAATCTGACGAAGTGACACCATAAAATCAAGAAACTTATCGGGACGTTCACGCACCCGGATTTTTTGTAATGTATAAAGACTATATGGCACCTATATATGGATTTTATTCATATATACTAACTGGTGCCGTGAGATCATATGGAAATAGGATATAGAAATAAAATACTTACCTACTGTTTTATTGCGAATTTATTTTTTCTTTAAATACTGGATTTTACTTTTAATTTGGCTAATGCTTCTTAGGCATTGGTGAATTTTTTTTTTAAGTTTTATTTCTTCGCCTGATGGGTAAACTGAATCTATACCTTTTTTTATATTTTTAAATGTTGTTTGTTCATTATGAAATTAAAAATATGTTATTTATCATAGTATTGCTATATAAGGTAAAGTTTCATGTAACGTCAATATGTCCCTAATGCTCGCCCTAATGGACTAGAAAAATATTAAAATTAATATAATGACAATAGTTTAAAGGGTTATCAATAAATATTATATTATTTTAATTTTTAACAGATTTATAACAATTTGATTAATGATCTTACTTTAAAAATGGTAGTACCCTCATCGACCTCTGATTTCGATTCTATACTTGTAAAATCAGTTGCTTCTGTATATGAAAAAATATTACTATAGGTATACTATATTTAGTAGGTATATTAAAAATATAAACTAAAGGAATTTTTTTAAAAGTACACAGAAAAAATTAACGAAAAATTTATTATTTTAAAAATAAAGAACATCGTTTAATGATCGTCAAGAGTTGTTAATTCAATAAACTTTTATATTATATTGATGAAGGAAATAATAAATTTTTGATGTTTCGCGTTTATAGTTTAATGTTGGCCAGTTTATTGTTTCAATGTACTTATTTATTAATCTATGATAAAAAAAGCATTGTGGCAATTACTAATAATTTAGATATTAATGTACAAAAAATTGACGACAGCGGTTTATTAATTTTACGTACAGTTTTTGTTTCTATTATAAAAGATATATCCATTAATGACGTAAAAAATACTAAAGTTGGCTATGAAAAACCCTTATGTTTAAAAGAGAATCATTTATTATATCGGATAGATAAAAATACTGGGTGTTTCATTTAAGTTTAGCAAGTTATTCAGGTTTAAAGAAGTTAATTATAAATCAATATTTTTGGAACAACCTGTATATTTATGCTTAATAATAAATATTGCAAATAGTAGAAATAGTAGCAAATCAAGTCATTCACCCATTTCATAGTTATTATTTTTTAAGTGACATTAAGAAAAACCGATATAATATATTATCTAAAAAAAAACCAAAAAAGATAGGTTCAGGGAATCTTTAAGAAATACGGATTATTTTTTTAAGTTAAATTAAAAAATGCTGTTTTGTTTAGGGCGTTTTATATAAAAAACATAATTATAATATGCCACATTTTTTGGAAGCACCCTGTATATTTATAAATATATTTAAATATATTAAATTTTCGAAATTGTTATAGTTTATACACCTGGTATACGACATTGATATACCCCAAATTTTAAATTGATTTGTCCAGTAGGGTGCCACTTATTTCGGCCACTTTTGAATTTTTTGTCACGTACGAAATCTACAAAATTTGAGCCATCTACGAAGATAATTGCCACCAAGCAGTTAAAATTTCCATTTAATTAACATGGAGTTTTTATTTTTTTTTCATTTAGCAGCTTTTTTATTTTAAAAATTTTACAATGCATAAATTGAATTTATAGGTATTGTATTTAAGTTGACCCTTTTTTTATTATAACTAACTTTAAGCTATAAAAACAATAATTTTTAATAATTTATCCTCAGTCGCGTTATCCTCCGTCATGCCTTTAAAATAATAAGTCAAAATAAATTTCCATCCTGAAAATTCCAGGGAAAGAAAGTGACTTCTTTTTCATAGGTTGGGCGCCCATAGTTAATTAAGTGGCTCCCTAATATCCAGTAGTGGCGCTTATTGCTTATATTTTTTAGTTCTACTGTTACAATAGAAATTTATAAATTTATTGAAAATGCCATATAGAACCCATATTGAATCCGATAAGGAAACGTATCTGGTTCTATATGGTTTTATAGGTCCTATATGGAAAGTCCTGGTTTACATTACGGATTCTATATGGTTGAATATGGATTTCCATTTTAAAAATTTTCATATTCAACCATATAGGGAAACCTATCTGGAAATACATATAGAACAGAAACCAGATAAATCCATATACATCCATATACATGTCTTTATAAAGACATGTATATGGTTGTTGTATCTGGTTTCTGTTCTATATGTATTTCCAGATAGGTTTCCCTATCTGGTTCTATAGTGTTTTAGAGTGTTTTTATCTGGTTCTATAATGTAATCTTCTATCTGGTTCTATAGTGAAATGCCTGTTTCAAATACCTATATTGAACCAGATAGAAACCATATAGAATCCGGATACGTGTTTTTTATATGGTTCTATATGGCATTTTCAATAGGGTAGGTAAATGCTATATAAATGTAACTCATGTCATAGTAATAGAGTAAGATTAGAACAACGTTTTCTAGTTACCCAAAACTTTTATAAATTAACTGTATGTCCTAATTGCACCGTTGTTAAAAATATTATTATTTAAACCAAACTAGGGTTTAAATAATAATGTTTTAAATTTTAATTACAGTTTAAAAAATTAATTGTTTTTAATAAATAAGTTCGTATAAAATTGTTTATTCAAATCAAATTTGATTTGATTTAATAAATCATTTTTGTGCAATATTGTATTCTTCGAAAATTATCGAAATAAAAGGAAATGTTTAGTTTGACTATAGAAATATTATTACAAGTTGGTCAAAATAAAATAAAATAACGCATATATGCGTTATTTTATTTTATTTTGACCAACTTGTAATAATATTTCTATAGTCTATAACTAGGTAATCCCGTAAACGATACATTGTCATAGATAATAAATAATATGTATGTCTAAATATCATTTAGAACACAATTAATTGTGTTTGTATAATAAATTCTAATTTTTAGTACCTTTATTTAAATTTAAAAAGGTAAGCTTATCAATTTTAAGTAACGTATACCTTAAAATTAAAAGAATAAAATGAAAGTAATTTTAACGGCTGTCAAACACGTTTTTAGGTTATTTTGTTTTGTATTTGAAAGGGTAGTAGAACATTGTGTTTCACTCTAAGGTTTCACTTGAGAAAAAAGCTTCCTTCAAGCTCGTGTTAATGCAAATAACTATTAACTATTATAAAAATACTTACTAGGCTTTTCATATTTTTTTGACATCATAACACCGAGTGAACACGTTGTTTTAAGAGTATGTAATTAAATGTGAAAAAAGAAACTTTGGTGCCACAACGTGTTAGTATATACCGCGAAATATAAGGTGCCACTTCGTAAAATTACAGAAATTGGAAACGGTCGTAGCGCTCCCTAGGAGAATGTGGTTAAACTAAAATATATAATTGCTAAATAAATGGTCGAAAAGGCACCTTTTTAAAATTACGTCATTCTTTTAGTTTCAATATAAAACACTTAAAAATGAGATAAAACGTACTGGCACCAGAAAATGGTGCCACAACGTTTATATAGGTGTCACAACGTCTATATATGCCCGGATTTGGTGCCATTAGGTTACATTCCTTCCCAAGCCCGATATGTTCAACAGGCAACCTCAGACCCAAAAGAAATATTGGTTCGCGGGGTGTGTATAAGTAAAAATATAATGCTTACCATTTATAACTTTACGAACAGAGGAAGAGGGGAAATATTTTTCACATATAATGTACTATGTAATGGTAGCTGTCAATCCCCATATAGGGAACCGTTTTCCGAGTCCCATATATAAATTTTGCAACAATTTAACGACGTTGTCGATCCCGGCAGTGTTGCCTAATTTAATTAAATTAAGAAACACTACTGGGATTGACAACGTCGTTAAGTGGTTGCAAATATGGGATTCACAACGGCCATTACATAGAAGAAAATATTTT